AAAAAAAAAAAAACAGACCTATAAATCTCTCATTGTGTAACACCTAAAACTCACTGAAAAGATGTAAAAGATATTGAATGTCATTCAATATGGTTTTAAAATGAAATTTTCGGGCGGTGCCCATAGCACAGTAGTTACAGCACCAGCCACATGCACTGAATATTGCAGGTTCGAACCCAGCCTGGGCCAGCTAAACAGCAATGACAATTGGAATTAAAAAAAAAACATAGCCAGGCATTGTGGAGGGTGCCTATAGTCCCAGCTACTTGGGAGGCTGAGGCAAAATGATTGCTTAAGCCCAAAAGTTTGAGGTTGCTGTGAGCTGTAACGCCACAGCACTCTACCAAGGGTGCCGATATACTGAGATTCTGTCTCAAAAAAAAAGGGGGGGGGAGGGTAGCACCTGTGGCTCAGTGGGTAGGGCGCCGGGCCCCATATACTGAGGGTGGAGGGTTCAAACCTGGCCCTGGCCAAACTGTAACAAAAAAATAGCTAGGCATTGTGGTGGGCATCTGCAGTCCCAACTACTCAGGAGGCTGAAGTAATCGCCTAAGTCCAGGAGTTGGAGGTTGCTACGAGCTGTGACACCACAGCACTCTACTGAGGGTGATAAAGTGAGACTCTGTCTCTTAAAAAAAAAAAAAAAAAGAAATTTTCATTACAAATAATTTCTTCTGGCTTGATGCCCATAGCACAGTGGTTACAGTGCTAGCTGCATATATCAAGGGTGGCGGGTTCAAATCTAACTCAGGCCAGCTAAACAACGATGACAACTGCAACAAAAATTAGCCTGGGTGCCTATGGTCCCAGCTACTTGGGAGACTGAGGCAAGAGAATCACTTAAGCCCAGAGTTGGAGGTTGCTGTGAGCTGTGAAGCCACAGCACTCTACTGAGAGTGACATAGTGAGACTTTGTCTCAAAAACGAAACAAAACAACAACAACAAAAATGATTTCTTTCACAGCAATGACTGACTGATGTTTGTTCCGAGAGGTCAGAAAGCTGGCTCTGGTTCTGGGAAACGTACTGTTTCCTACCTTAGACAAGAGGTTCAGGTCAAGTTTGAGGGAGGAAAGGACATCCAGGATTGGGACAGTGAGTGAAGTATTCTCCATTAGTAGGTCACTGTGAATGGTTGAAAAAGAAAAATTATGTACCAGTTTGAACAGAGCTGAGCAGATAATGACTTGAGAAAATCACTCAGAGTACAGGGAGAGAGGATATACTTAGTTCCCATTAAGTTACTATTTATAGTCTATTTCACTAAAAACCTTTGTTTACAAAAAGCAATGTGTGCTCATTATAAAAATTCAAACAACAAACAAAGTAGAAATAAGACGCCTTCCTTCATAGTACCCACTACCAAGAGGCCACCACTATTCAGTTTGGTATATATTCTTCCCAGAAAAAGGGGGAAAAAAACCCTAAAACAGTTAAAATGAGTTGTGACAAATATCATAGACTATTTGCAGGGTGCTATGGGAGCAAACAGTAGTGAGAAGGACATTGATGAGTTCTAAGAGAAGACAATACAAAAGACAAGCTGGCAAAGTGGGTGGTACGGTGCTCTTTCCAGAGCAAGCAACCTGTCCAAAATCATAAAGAAAAAAATCATTACTAGTGGTCATGCGAAGTGGCTTAGAAAAACAGGTTAAATCCCAGACCCTACTCACAGAAGTATCTTCACAGGTATCATCTTCTCTCTATACAAAGGACCACCTTACTAGTCTTTGCATACTGAAGTGATAAAGCTCTCATAGGGGAACCTTACTTAGATGGTGACAAGGTGCTTATCTACCTGAGTTCTTTCCCCACATCAGCATGCTGGGAATCTCCTAAGATTTCAGGTAGGCTGGTGACGAAATCATGCTGCAGGTACTCTGGAGCAATACTGATCAGCTGCATAATCTTGGTGGTGAGGTCCTGTATGTAGGACACTGTTAGAATTGTATCACATTGCCTAGATCAGAAGACGACTACCTACTCATAAAATGCAGAGCTGAAATTATTTTGTGTATAATATAATTGTGTACAGATTCAAGCGCAAATACTAAATGCAGAGGAAAATGAAAATTTTACATGATACAGAAAAAAATGTAGAGTGGATAGTGTATTTTCTAATAGATCTATTACATAGATTATTTCTTTTAACATTAAAAACTTGAAGGAATATATATATTTTTGAAACAGTCTCATTCTGTTGTCCCAGGGTAGAGTGTCATGGCATCAGCCTAGCTCACAGCAACCTCAGATTCCACTCCAGGGTTCAAGTGATCCTCCTATCTCAGCCTCCTGAATAGCTGGGACCACAGGCAAAATGCCCAGCTAATTTTTTTATTTTTAGTAGAGATGGGATCTTGCTCAGGCTGGTCTCAAACTCCTAAGCTCAAGGGATCCTCCTGCCTCAGCCTCCCAGAGTGCCAGGACTACAGGAATGAGCTACAACACCCAGTCTACAAATTGTAAGGAATTTCTGTGACAATTCCTAATATTTTTTTTTTGGCCAGGGCTGGGTTTGAACCCACCACCTCTGGCATATGGGGCCGGCACCCACACCTTGAGCCAAAGGCACTGCCCAACACAATTCCTATTTTTTACATATAACTTTATGATTGCTCAAAGATACAATTAAGTGGTAGACCCCAAAATTCTAGTTCTAATGAGACTCCAAAACTTGTTTTTCCAAATAAAGATTTACCTTAGAATGTCTACCAAAAATTACAAAAATGATTTTAAAAACTCCTAAAAACAGGCCAAGTATTGTGGCTCATGCCTGTACCCCCAGCACTTTGTTTTTCTTTTTTAAATATTATTATTATTACTTTTTTTTTTTTGAGACAGAGCCTCAAGCTGTCCCCCTGGGTAGAGTGCCGTTACATCACAGCTCACAGCAACCTCCAACTCCTGGGCTCAAGCAAGTCTCCTGCCTCTGCCTCCCAAGTAGCTGGGACCACAGGCACCCACCACAATACCCAGCTATTTTTGGGTTGCAGCCGTCATTGTTGTTTGGCAGACCTGGGCTGGATTCGAACCTGCCACCTTAGGTGTATGTGGCTGGCGCCTTAGCCGCTTGAGGCACAGGCGCCAAGCCACTCCCAGCACTTTGAGTGGCCAAGGTGGTGGATTGCCTGAGCTCACAGGTTCAAGACCAGCCTGAACCAGAGTGAGACCTCATCTCTAAAAAATAGCCAGGCTTGGCGCCTGTGGCTCAAGTGGCTAAGGAAAAAAAAAATAGCCAGGCATTGCAGTGGGCACCTGTAGTCCCAGCTGCTCAGGAGGCTGAGGCCAAAGAATTGCTCACGCCTAAGAATTTGAGGTTGCTATGAGCTATGATGCCATAGCACTCTATAGAGGTTAACAAAGTGAGACTCTCTCTCAATAAAAATAAATAAATAATTAAATATATAAATAAGGTCGGGTGCGGTGGCTCACTCCTGTAATCCTAGCACTCTGAGAGGCTAAGGTGCATTGATCTCCTAAATTCAGGTAAAGTGAGACATGTCTCTAAAGCTGGCCAGACATTGTAGTGGGCACCTGTAGTACCAGCTTCTTGAGAGGTTGAGGAAAAAGGATCATTTAGCCCAGAAGTTTGAAGTTTCTATTAGTTATGACACCATGGCACTCTTCCAAGGGTGACAACATGAGACTCTGTCTCAGAAAAAATAAATAAATACAATTAAATAAATATAACAGATAAAATCCCAAATGCTACCTTGCCATCCACAACTTTGTCAAGCCATTTTAGTTGACTGATGATGAGTCGAGGCATGTTGATTCCATCACTGTTCATCCTAAAATGTTACAAAAACAAGACAAGGATCTTGGCTCAGCGCTTGTAGCACAGTGGTTACAGGCACAGGGCACATGCACTGAGGCTGGCGGGTTCGAACTCAGCCAGGGCCAGCTAAGTAATGACAACGGCAACAAAAGTATAGCTGAGCCTTGTGGCAAGTGCCTGTAGTCCCAGTTACTTGGGAGGCTGAGGCAAGAGAATCCCTTAAACACAAGAGTTTGAGGTTTGCTGTGAGCTGTGACACCACAGCACTCTACAAAGGGTGATGCAGTGAAACTCTGTCTCAAAAAAATAAATAAAATAAAATATATTTTTGAGGCTCAGGACCTGTAGCTCAGTGGCTAGGGTGCCAGCCACATACACTGGAGCTGGCAGGTTTGAATCTAGCCTGGGCCTGCCAAACAATGACAACTACAACCAAAAAATAGTCGGGCATTATGGTGGGTGCCCGTAGTCCCAAATACTCGGAGGCTGAGGCAAGAGAAATGCCTAAGCCCAGGAGTTGGAAGTTGCTGTGAGCTGTGATGCCACATCACTCTACTGAGGGCAATAAAGTGAGACTCTGTCTCAAAAAAAAAAAATTATATGTATATATACATATATATAATTTTAAATAATCCTAATTATTTTTATGAAGTCATAAAAATAAAAAAATTTGGCTCAGTGCCTGTGGCTCAAGTGGCTAAGGCGCCAGACACATACACCTAAGGTGGCGGGTTCGAATCCAGCC